TTCCCCCAGACGTCAAAAATACTTTTAGAAAAGGCCTCTGTGTCATCTCGGAAATGAGATGTCCTAATATGAAATAAATCTTTTTTTCAGCGATAGGAGGAAGTGAAACCAGCACTGAAGCGGAGAGCGGTGCACAGCTCTTACTCTCTGCTTCCTCCTTCTTAGTGCATCACACAAAACCCCACAGAAACTTGTGCAAAATTATGGAATAACCATGCTCAGAGCTCCTCCAGAAAATCACTGTGTCTCTCCAGCTCCTTACGCGAAAGGCCGGTCGGGCTGTTAGAGAAATTACCTTACACGTAGTAGGCTCTGTTTGTTTGTTTTTTTGTTGCTCAGGCCTTGTGAACGATTTAATGCGGGGTTTTTTGTGTGCGTCTTTTCCATTTTTCTTTAATTTTTTAGAGGATTTTTCTCCATCTCAACCTCGGAGGTATTTAACTAGCCCCAAACGGGTATTTCCTCTCAGCGGTTCCATGGTAACAGGCACATATTTAGCGACATCCTGAGCAGATAGTCACTGCAAATGTGGAGACCTGCCTTGTGGTTAGGACGGGGGGGGGTCTGTGGTCACCCAGGTGCAAAGGACTGAGGCACGGAGGTGGCACCTACACCAGCACTGAGCTGGCAGAGCCTGCAGGCATGGGTGCTCCTTGGGCTTTGAGGATCAGACCACGGGGGTCTCCAATCTCCAGGAGGTTTCTTGCTGGAGGTTTCATGCTCTGGTTTGGTGGCATATAGCAGCTCTGCTTGTCCACCCCATCCCGTTCTGGAAAATATTTGGGTTCAGTGAGGTGTCCCCTGGTTGTTAATCTGATGCTCAGCCACGTGAGTTGGGGTGGGGGATGTTCGTGCTCTTGATGCATCTGGCTGATGGTGGCTTCTGCTCTTGGAAGGGTTTGTGCCAGTTTGCCCGTGTCCTTATTTCCCAGCTCTGACTGTGGTTTTCCACATTCTTCTGGTCCCGGTCGCCCCGGTTCCCATCCCTCCCCATCTGTCCCCTGCGCAGACATCCCTTCCCTCGCGTGTTCAGCTCCTGCAGCAAGAGGCAGCTGGAGAACTACTTCCAGAAGGGAGGTGGCATGTGTCTCTTCAACCTGCCCGACACCAAGGACCTGGTGGTGGGACGGAAATGTGGCAATGGCTTTCTGGAGGAAGGAGAAGACTGTGACTGCGGGGAGGTGGAGGTAGGGTGCTGGGTGCTGCATTGCTTTCCCACAGAGGTTTTTGCAGACCAGCTCAGCTGCTGGGTGGCAGGACACAGCCCATGTGGAGAGGGGTATTTCCAAGGGCAAGGGGTTTGCCGGTCACCACAGGGACACCATCCCAAGGGCTCTTCCCAGTCCCACCTCCCTGAATCCATTTAACCTGGTCCTGTCTTTCTTCTTGACTTTGCCCCAGAGTGCTCAGGTCTTCCTCACCCCCCCGTGCCTCAGTTTTCCCCATCATGAAAGTGAGAAGAGCAATGCTGTGATGGGTGGAGAAGGGGCTGGGGGCAGCAACGCGGGAGGGACGGGCTCGCTGACCATGGTGGTGTCTTCTTCTCCCCACGCAGGAGTGCACCAACCCGTGCTGCAATGCACACAACTGCACGCTGAAGGCGGG